AGGAACAAAAGGCCTCATGCTGTCTTACAGAAGATCAAAATCACTCCAGATAGTGGGGTACTCAGATTCTGACTTTGCAAAAGATAATACAAAGTCAACATCGGGATACGTGTTTACCCTGGCAGGAGGAGCTATTTCATGGAAAAGCTCAAAACAGACTATCACTGCAGAGTCTACTATGTATGCCGAGTTTATAGCATGCTATGAGGCAACGGGGCAGGTGAACTGGCTAAAGAAGTTCATACCCGGTTTAAAGGTGGTTGACAGTATTGAGAAACCACTAAAGTTATACTGCGACAATGAACCCGCAGTAATGTACGCTCACAACAATCAGTCAAGTGGTGCTGCCAAACACATTGACATAATTTAAAGTACTATGTTGTGAAGGACAAAGTCCGGGATCAAACAATAAGTCTCAAGCACATTAAAACAGAAAGGATGCTCGCGGATCCGCTCACGAAAGGCCTACCACCCAACGTGTTCAAGGAACATGTAGCCGGCATGGGTTTAAGGGAAGCCTTATGAATCCTGGACTACAGGGCCCAAAAGTAAAGTATCTGTTTTTGAATAGAGATGTGTATAGTGGCTGTCGAATCCATCGGTGATTGACCGTGACGATGAAACATGCTCTATTTACAAATCTGTGATGGAATAGAAAAAGCTAAAAGAAAAAGTGAGATCAAGGGGGAGAATGTTAAATAGATCTCCCTCCCCTTGAGCCCAACGGCTCAAGGGGGCCTTGACCGCGCCCTGATCGGGGGCGCCCAGCCCAAATGGCTGGTGGGCCCCCGTCACACTGCACCATATAAAAGAGGGGTGGAGGCCGGCACGGCACAAGGTACGAAGTTCACCGCCGCCGCCACCTCCACCCCACAAAACCCTAATCCGATCGAGGGGGCGCAGCCAGTGACGGGAAACGCCACCGCCGCGCCACGACCTCACCGGGATCGCCCACAACCACCGCTGCAACGACAACCGCCGCCGTCAAGCACACCGTCGCTGCCATCCACGTCAAGCCGCGACGACAACGACGATGTCCGGCGCCTCTTCCTCCACGAACTCCTCAACCGGTCGGTATCTAAACCCTCTCCCTTTCATCTACAATGTCGTTCATCAAACCCAAATAGAACCACCCGACTAGATCTAACCTAGGTGATCCTAGTGCAAAGTATAACACCGTCGGTCCTTTTAAGTAACACTTTTTACAAGCAGTACACCTAATACCATCGACGATTGTGAAAAGTAACTTTTATAGGTGGTTCGTGACTAAATGATTCTCGGTGCATTTTCATGTGTTGGTTTTCTTTTAGTCCGTATGTAAAAATAGCGGGGAGTGGGGAGGAGGTTGCTGAAAATAGTTTTTTAGTAGCGTGCTAAGGAGTTGCCATTTGGTCTATTTGAGTATGTTTTAGGGATGTTTTCGCCGGTGTGTACAAGTACAGTGTGTGCATATATACTTCTTTTATGTAATAAAAAAGAATATGTTGAACTCTTGGGAACAGTTGAATTAGCTATGTAATCAATTGCCTGAGCTTTTTTTTTGGGCAGAATTCTGAATCACATGTTTCAACTGTTGGATGAAAGATCCATGCATCCAACTAGCTATAGAGGTCGGCATCCTTTTGTGCCCAAGTCAAAATCATGTGATGAGACTTTTCCCTCTGTGCGAGGAGCCGGAGCTCTCTCAGCCAGGAATCATCACATATAAAACAATAGGAAACAACCAATGAGCACCACTGTGTGGTAGTTAATGAAAATTGAACTGTTACATAGTGGAGTAATTGACCATATCTGTGAAAATGAGCAGGCATTGAGATAGCTAGCTATGTACTGTCACTGGTCAAAAATAGTTGACCATAATTTGGAGTATTACTAGATCAAACCGTACATATATATGCGTGTGTAAATTAATTATTACAAACGTATCCAGATAAGATTTCTCTTCAAGTAAAAGAAACATATGTATAGACATGTATGCACAGAAATCCTGGTGATTTTATATACAGTTCTATATGATAGTGAGGATTATATAAGCTAGTAGATCAAATGCAATAGTAATATACTAGTACAGAACACATATTAATTTGTACATGTTGTTTTGCATGGGAAGTCAAACCTTCTAGATGCCATGTGTGCTCATGTCGGAATCAACATTATTCCTTATTATATGGAGTAACTTAATTTCTTTGCTACGAATTCATCAGCTTCCTGTCAGATTAATTGTTAATTTTGAGGACTTGTGATTGGCGTGTTAGTCCTTCTGTGGCTTAAGAACGAGATGTGTACTGTCTCATCGATTGACTCTGAGAATGAGATACTGATGTTTTTCTGGATAATGGATTGAACCGATCTGATCTACATTCAAACGGATGTAAACAGTCAAATGAGATACTGATGATGGAGATAGCTTAGCCTTAATCGAGCTAACCGTTGAATTCAAAGCACAAGCTATTCTGCTCTTTTTTTCCTCACATGGAGCTATTTAGATACACGTACTTGTGTAGATACGTTGCAATCATCTAATTAAACATATGTATACGTCATTTTCGCCAAACTTTGACAAATAATTGTCGTTAGAATATATTCACAAAATTTGATAGTTATTATTATTATTACTACTACTATTATTATATTATGGAGTGCTTTTTAGTTAAGAGGTATGAATCTCTACATGTGCTGCAATTTTTCATGTATCTGATCTAAGTGTTAGGAAGGTTAATGCTTTAAGTTTGAAAATTTTGACTCGAGATGTTTATAGAAAGATTGGTGTTTTACTTTTCATGACCGAATGAAGTACTAGTACATACGTACAAATCTACAATTCCCTGGATGGTCGTGATCTGCTTTGCTATGTGCTGATGCAACTAATTAAACATTACGGGTTTGAAGTTTAAACCCCAAGACAATGCTATACTTTTCATGAATTTCCTTCAGTTTGTCCACTCCTAGGATATTGTCAAATGATGGACCAAAGACCGGGGCCAGTCTCCCTTGTGGTGACATAAGAAATTACTAATTAATATAACATGGCAACTTAATTTATATTTTAACTTAAAGCAACACGAGACAAATTGGATCAATCATCTTATGTAACAAATAAAATGTTAGATTGCAGCAAAATAAAATAAAAGATGCAACACTTTTGTAAACAAAGTTGCAACAACAAAAAAATTAACATTCTGTAACAAATTAAAATAGAATTTGCAAACAAACTGAGAACACGTTTGCAACGATGTGTACTATATCAGTTGCCACGACAAGGCACATAAATCTAGTAGGTCGAGATTGGGCCATCTCAACCACATGATTGGCAATTCTTTTTCTTAATTATCACCGCCAGAAGAATAAACTAATTAATTTAGTTATAAAAGTAATTATAGTAGAGTATATGTCTCAAATTAAGAAGATGTCAATGCCCTAGAGAGTACTAAGGAGAACGATGGGAATTAAATTAATGTTTATAGTGACCACACTGGAGTTTTCCTCTGTGGAAAACTGTAGAGTGACACATGCGTAAATTGACAAATACTCCGTATTAATTTTGCTTAATTTCAAGCCATCCATAAAGGCCGAGTCAACAATTAAGCTGAATTTGTACTGAACTCGAAGTCAAAATCAGATTATGGCATTGTTTAGTTCGCGAAAAAAAAAATTTGGGTGTCACACCATGAGACGGATTTATTAAGCCTAATTAATCCATCATTAGCACATGTGAGTTACTGTAGCACTTATGGTTAATCATGGACTAATTAGCTCAAAAGATTCATCTCGTGATTTCCATGCAAACTATACAATTTATTTTTTATTTTATCTATATTTAATACTAAATGTATGTATCCAAAGATTTGATGTGATGTTTTGGGAAAAAAATTTAGGAAGTAAATAAAGCCTATATTGAATGGGAAACAGAACAGGAACGAGATAGGAGGATTGGCCAGTCACATCAGGTTAATTAATAGAGGAAGAATAATAATAATAAGAGAGCTAGTAATACAACACATGAGTAGCTATCGTCAACTAAGGTAGATATAGATATTATATGTTATACACCTAACAAATTCTCCTTCCATGAGGTGAATGCAGGTTAGCTGGAGTAGTAGACAACGTATGTACAGTTGACAGGGAGAGGCTCATGATAACGTTAATTTTAAGACATACCGACCAAATGTATTAGACGTTCTGATAGATGTGGAGTGAGTATATATACAATTTAAGTGTCTATATTTAAAATGTGTTTTAAAAACAAATACTCCTTCACTTACGTTCCTTCACTATTTACAAGTACTAGCTAGCAAAATACCTATGCTTTGTCATAGTTTATCAAATAGGTTAGTATCACTTGTTTGTTTATTTAAACATGTGGTATTCACTTATTTGAATTAAATATTGGACTATTCCATGATATAAAAAACAATATGGGCTAATTTGTAAAATTTGCAAAAGGAGTGACGAGGTGGCAATGGCAGATTCACCGCCACCATGACTAGTAGTGCCTTTTAGGGCCCCTTTGAATCGCAGGAATGAGAAAATATAGGAATAGGAAAAACACGGGATTTTGATAGGAATGTAAGTGTAAAACAGAGGATTGCAAAATACAGGAAAAACACAAGAATGATCGTTTGATTGGACCGCAGGAAAAATACAGGAATTAAAGGAGAGATAAAGACTTAAAGGAAAATTTCCAAGAGGTTTTACCTTATGTTAGAATTCCTCCAAAACTTGCATGGCATTAGACAATCCATAGGAATTTCATAGGATTCCATAAGATCCATTCCTTTGATTCAAAGAGCTATATAGGAAAAATTCCTACAGGAATGAAATCCTCTAAAATTTCTAAGAATTTCCTTTGAATCAAGGGGGGGCCTTAATGGAGTATAGATTTTGGGAGTAGCTTATTAGAACGAATGGTCCAAGAGCACAGTAGAAGAAAACTTTTTTTTTAAAAAAAATATATTTTAAGACCGTGAAGAAAATAATTCGTTGCAATAATCCTGTAGAAAAGCCAAATGAACACTACACTGGTTAGCGAGATATAGAGCTCATAGGTTAAATAATGAGCTGATCAAACAACGAAAGTATGATTGATGATTTCTTTTTTCTTTTTTAAAAAAGTATGATAGAGCTAGCACCAGCTTCTCTCTATATATATATATCATGTAAAAAACCTAGCTGTGTTTGCAAGAGCAAGCTAGTTACCAACACTCCTATCTTGTTTTCCATGTACCCACTATTCAAACTGCTAAACGGTGTGTTTTTTAAAAAGTTTCTACACAAAAGTTGTTTAAAAAAAATCATATTAATCCATTTTTGAAAAAAATAGCTAATACTTAATTAATCACTCCATTTTCCGTGCGCACTTAAGTTCACTTTGGTCCCTCTATTTGTCACCCAGTCTGATTTTCGTCCCTTGATCGCAAAACCGGGTACAAGTACAACAGGCCCCCAACTTACGAAACCGTTTAAATAAGGTCCCTCGGCAGTATTTGAACCCGATTTTGGTTGAGGTGGCGCCTACGTGGAAAATTTGACTCGATCTTCATCTGATATGGCATTGACGTGGCGCTTACGTGGCAAATCGATCTGAAAAATAATAAAACCTATGGGACCCACATGTTAGTTTCACATACACAATAATAGAAAAATGGTGGGGCCCACGTGGTCCCCACCTATCATCCTCACTACCCTTCTCTCTATCTTCTCTCCTTCCTCCTCTCTATATCCCCCACTCTCTCTCCCCTGAGAATGGCGAACGGCAGCAGGCGGCGCAGAGGGGCGGCGATGGAGCTGAGAGGCGGTAGGTCACAGATGGAGCGGCGGCGAGCAGCGGGTGGAGCGCGACGACAACCACTGCGGTGTTTCCGAAGACGATGACGACGACGACGCTCTGCCCAGAACTCGCGTCCGTCCTATCCTCGCCCGTCCGCCGCACGCCGCTCCTCCTTGGCGGCCGCTGCGCGGCGACCCTCATCGCTCGGCCGCCGTACACCACCTCCCTCCTTGCCCGACACGGGAGGCAGTCGGCACGGATGGGCGGCTCTAGCTGCGTTGGCAGGAGAGAGAGAAGAGGGAGGCATCGTGCCTACACAAGGAGACGAAGACTCAACCGCCACGTGGCCGGCGTTTGCACCCAGCGCGAGTGAGGAGCCGGAGGAGGAGAGCCCTTCCGCCGAGCCAACTGAGGAGCCATCCGCCGCCGCCGCCATCTCCCAGACCGCGGCCACCGTCAGCGAGGGCCCCGTGGGAGCTCCCGGCCCCGAGGCTGCCGAGGAGGAGAGCGCGCGGCGCTAGTACCATGCAACATGGCAGCCTCCCCGCCGCGGTGCCATCGCCGCCACCGCGTAAGCCTCCGGGGAGCGGCGGTAGTTGACGGGGAACACCCGCCCCGACATACCTGGCGATGCGGCGGCCGCCCCACTTCGGCCGCTGCCGCTCCTTGCCCGCCCCACTCCGGCCGCCGCCGCTCCTCCCTGCCACCGGCACTGCTCCGGCCCGCCGCTCCGACTGGAGAGAGAGAAGAGGGAGAGAGAGGATAGAGAGAGAGAGGATAGAGAGAAGGGGTAGTGAGGATGACTGGTGGGGTCCATGTGGGCCCCACCATTTTTTTTTATTGTTGTGTATGTGAAACTGACATGTGGGTCCCAAAGGTTTTATCTTTTTTCGGATCGAATTGCCACGTAAGCGCCACGTTAATGCCACGTCAGATGAAGACCGAGTCAAATTTGCCACGTAGGCGTCACCTCAGCCAAAACCGGGGCCAAATACTGCCGAGGGACCTTATTTAAACGGTTTCGTAAGTTGGGGGACCTGTTGTACCTGGTTTTGCGATCGAGGGATGAAAATCAGACTGGTCGACAAATAGAGGGAGCCAAAGTGAACTTATTCTAAGAAAGAAATAGTGTACTACTATGTGTGGACTAGCAATCGTGCATGGCCCAGAAAGTTTTAGGCTTCAGGTTGCCAGGCCAGCCCGGCCTGCGAGAATGGAATACCAAAGAATAGATTTGTGGAAGAAGTTCAATGTTCGTCCCTTATCTAAGGGTCGAGTTTCAATCATGTCCCTCAACTGCAAAACTAAATCTAACACATCTCTTATCTTACAAAACTGGTGTAAGATCTAGTTGCCTAGATAAGTTTTGGTGATTAATGATAACATGTTCTGAAACTAACTATTGCTATGAGTTTTAGTAATAGGTTATGTTCCGGCATCAAGTAAAAAAAGGTTGATGGCTTATATGTTAAGGATCAGTGATAAGATTATAGTCTAATAAAGAGAGATGATACCTCACATATTACCAATATCTAAATAATTTGCATGTGGGGATGAGATCGACATGCACGGATGGAGGAGGGACACGAGCTCGATCGATCGATCATGGCGGGACGCATGTCATGCCATGTCGCGCCCAAAAATAGGTTCTCCTCCTCCCACCTCCCGCCCGACAATCGAGCGGCATCGATCGATCGACGACGTACGACCCACCGACCGATGGCCGACCACGCCGTGCACGTCCTCTCGCCGCCGTGCGTCTGCGCCACCCTCGTCGGAGCCGCCTCCTTCTCCTCCCTCCGTGCCGCCGCCGCCGCCGCCGCCGCGAGCGGCGATGGTCATCGTGGCCGGGAGCGGCAGAAGGAGGAGGCGGCCGCGGCGGCGTGCTCGCCGTGGGAGGACGCGGTGATCGCGGCGGGGATGATGGGGGTGCAGCTCGCCGGGGCGGCGTACATGGTGGTGCTCGCGCCGGCGATGGAGCGGGGGCTCGACCCGCTCTTCCTCGTCACGTTCGGGAGCCTGGCCAACGCGGCGTTCACGCTCCCGTTCTCCGTCGCGCTGGAGCGGCGCCTCCTGTGGCCGCCGGCGGAGCAGCTGCTCACCGGCCGGCTCCTGCTCCGCTTCGTGCTCCTCGCGCTCGGCGGCGTCACGGGGTTCCAGGCGCTGATGCTGCAGGGGATGAAGCGGACGTCCCCCGCCATCGCCGCCGCCATGCCCAACCTCACCCCGGGCTTCATCTTCGTCGTCGCCGCGTCCCTCGGCCTCGAGCGCGTCCGCCTCCGCTGCTGCTACACCTGGGCCAAGATCGTCGGCACCGCGCTCTGCCTCGGCGGCGCCATCACCATGAGCGTCATCCAGAGCGCCACGGCGCCGCCGTACTCGCCGTCGCCGTCGTCGGGGTGGGCGGCGGGGTGCTTCTGCCTGCTGGGCGCCGTGGTGGTGGTGTCGTGCACCACCGTGCTGCAGGCGGCGACGATGGTGGGGTTCCCGGCGCCGATCACGCTGTGCACCGTGACGTCGTTCCTGGGGGCGGCGCTGACGGCGGCGCTGCAGCTGGTGGCGCGGGGGAGCCTGGCCGGCACCGGCGCGGGGGCGGGGGTCGTGGGGCTCCGCGCCGTGCTGGCGCTGGTGCTCGTCGGCGGCGTGGTGAGCTCGGCGTGCGTGGCGTTCCAGGCGTGGGCGCTGAAGAAGAAGGGCCCCGTGGTGGTGTCCATGTTCAGCCCCACGCAGACCGTCGGCTCCGCCGTCTTCTCGGCCATCTTCCTCGGCAGAGTCGTCAAGCCTGGAAGGTAGAGCTGCTCATTCTTCTTTTTATTTCTTGAAAGAAAACATTGCGCAAAGTTTCATATTGGTATAGTAGTAAAAAAAATAGTTAACATAGATATATATATATGAATAGGTCGAGGCGACACTATTCGACTGTCATGAAAACTAGACGGGAAATTCTAAGTTTTCAGCCATGAGCCATCGAATCCATGTTGAGATTCGTGCATACGATCGGAATAAAAAATCAACCACGGGTCACTCGCATGTCAAACTCGCGACACATACCACACTATACTATGGCGCGATTTTAATTTACATATCGTTACATCTGATTTACTTGTATTATAGCTACATTGTATTATAGTTATAATGTTAAATTTTATACTAATTTTAATGTTAAAATTTTTCATCAAAATCTTTCGATAATGTTTGTAGAAATTCTTTTTTTAAAAATGATAATAAAATTAGTTTACATCTTTGGTCTCTGTCGATATATGCAAAAAACGATATTATTACTGAGTCATTTTTGGTTTGTATGTGTAGTGTGGTAGGGATGATTCTCCTCTTCTCGGGGCTGTATGTGGTGCTATGGGCAAAGAAGAAAGAGACCACCATCATCAACAGCGACGACTCATCCATGGCAGTGGCGACCAAGGATGGCGACGACCCAGAAAAGCAGCCACTCTTATCTCGACGACACTAATACTCTCTCACCTTCACTAAGCTAGCTAGTTGATTAATTAGCTAGTGTTTAATCTTATGTAAGCTCTTATGTATATTATGCACATGTGATTAGTCCTCGGCTTAATTTCGTTTGTATGGATGGCAGCTTATGATGTTTTTTAGATTATGGTAGATTAATTGTACTTAAATCGACATTTCTTTTTGCTATAAATACACCATGAGATTTAGATTATTTTGTTTCATATTGTATTCTGCATTAGCCTGCAGTATGCATTTTTATGCTAATGAAGACAGTATGCATTGTTATATGCTAATGAAGATCATTTTTTTTCAACTTTTGTATAAATGTAAACTTTATTAAGAGGCCTTTCATTTTAAGTTCGCGTGCATTTTGGAGGGAATCAAAGTCAAACATATCCCTCGATACTTTGGAACTCATGAATTAATCTAACATGATTCCCACCGGAATCACATTAATTATTACTCATCAAACTTGAAGTTCACTTAGCTCTGCTTTAAACTCAGGAATTTGTTTGTTAATGAGGGTTCTATTTGAAAACATGTAATTTTTAGTGTATTCTACCAAACTGGAGAATTTTTTTTCTGCGACAGTTAAGATTTCGAATTATAACATTTAGCATGTTTCCAAACCGAGACTCCGTGCCAAACACATTGGTATGGATTCCTCCTATGGTTTTTTTCGTGCTGAATGCTTAATACACGAACGGTTTGTGATAATTATTCACTGGTACAAATGAACAAATCACTTATTATAAAATCAGAAAGTGCATTTTAAAAATATTTTGCAGAAAGTTTTTTTTAAAAAAAAGATCAAATCATTTAGGAGCTCTCGAAAATCATGCGTATTCATTCATTCATTCATTTGAAAAGAACATGTCGTTGTCCAATTCTATAGCTTTAAATCGTTGAATTTGGTAGGGACTCATTTTAGCTTATATTATAAAGTTTCAATATTTTTGACGTTGCCATAAAAAAGAGTTGTCCATTTTGCCCCACTTAACTTTTGTGTTTATATAAATATACCATGTACTAAAAAATCTTCCTTCCACACACGCTGAGGCTTCCTTATTAGGCCATGGTCAACGCTCTAGCGTGAAGCTTGGTCTCACCCCTTCCGAGGCAAATATTCGCGCTAGCTCGGTCGGGATCGCACCCCCGCACAGCGCCGTGACCCCCAGCAGAGGGCCCCGTAGTTTCGTTAGCTTTTGGTCGAGGAGTTGCGTTGAGGAGATGCCTCACCCCAAGCCGTTGCCCCGCACCAGGGAAGAAGATGGAGAGGGAGTGGACTGGAGAGAAGGGACACATCGATTCCCACCGCACGGCTCCGATCTGCACCACCTTCAACTCGATCCGCCGCCGCCACACCTTGATCCGCCACCTCCACCTCGATCCGCCGGCACCGCCCCCGATATGTACTATCTCTGCCTTGATCTCCCACCACTGCCTCAATTTTCACCTACTCCACCTTGATCCACCTCGATCCGCTGGACGTGTGCTCGGGAGGGAGAGGTGGAGCTTGAGCTCGCCGGCTTCTCCGCCACCGAGGAAAGAGAGGGGAGAGGTGGCGCCACCTAGGAGAGGGGTATGGTGACGAGGCGTGCGGGAGAAAGAGAAGCGCCAACGAGGTGAGCGTGTGTGGGAGGAGATGAGCGAGCGCGTGCAGGTGGAGAAGTGCGAGTGATGGCGCGGGGTAGTGGTGGGGATGAAAATGATAGAAAGTTAAGAGAGTATGACAGTGGGCCATCGACCAATATATAATTTTCCTCTATATTAAGGGCTGATATGAAAAAGTGCTATAGGGCCCACTTCAAGGTACATGTATTTGGAGGATGGTTGCTTAAGCCCGAGTCTTTAATCACTTTTGCTTACGTGTATGGTTAGGGTGCTGCCTGCGTTGGTCGCGGTCTTAGGTGTACATCACTGTCTGGTGACATCCTACGATAGCCCACGTGTACCAAAACCACCCTAAAGCCGTTTGAGGGGTTAATCTTATATTCGGCTCTGTAATTCATGGGTATATTGTAGAAAAAAAAAGTTCAAAGGGGATAAAATAATCTTCTAAAAAGAAAAGGAGAAAGGAACGAGAGCCAAGAACCTAAAGTAGTTCTATCCAGATTTCGTGCAGGGGAAAGAAACACATGAAAGAAAGCAAAAAAAAACACCACCAACTAATTTCATTGGAATTTTGTGGGAGGTGGAGGGAGCAGATTGGTCTCTTTGACTCTCCTTGTGCGAGAGATTGACTTGGGATTTGTTGAGTTGGCAACTTTGCTTGGCTCTGCACGGACCAACGCCGACGACGACCGCCGGAGCCGCCGCATCTAGCTCGCCGCCCCGCCATGCAGCCGCTGCTCAAGGTGTACGCCGACCGCCGGTCGCAGCCCAGCCGGGCCATAATCATCTTCTGCAGGTACCCCAGCCAGTTCTTTCCTCTCACTCGCTTTCCCCCCCTGAATCGTCCTGAATCTTGATATCTTCTTGGACGCTGCGTTGGTTGCAGAGTGAACCGGATCGATTTCGAGGAGGTCACGGTGGATCTGTTCAAGCGCGAGCACCTGTCCCCTGAATTCAAGAGTAATCTGACGCTCTTTCTTGATCTTTTTTTTTTCTTTCCCTTTTTGTTTTTGCTGGCATGAAAGTTTGCAATCTTTTCCCCACTGCTTTAGTTATACTGTAGAGCTAGTATATATATTATAGTTTTCTTCCTTTCTTCAGAGATAAACCCAATGGGACAGGTGCCAGCAATCGTTGATGGGCGATTCAGATTGTTTGAGAGGTTTGTATGCCCTCTCGAGACTCCTCCAGAATAATAGTAGTAACTCTAGCGCACGATTCAGTAATTGTCCTGTCTCTCAGACTCTCACCTGCCCTTTGCAATGTCAATTTTGTACAGGACCAAAATTTTGTTCCAGTTCAGTTTTCGATGCGTATTTACAGTTTGTTCGGGATATTCTTCTGTCTTGTGTGTACACTTATAGTTTATTAACGCCAGAACTGTGCATGGAATTTGCAATTCCTTGCCTTCCATATTCTGTTTTTTCTGTTTTGTGAAAGATTATCCATGTAAGCTGCACACTTTTGAATGTTTTTAATGCCGCATATTGCGACTCCATATTTTTGATACTTAATAAACTAGAGATAGAGACCTACCAATTCAATTCCTGTTGAGGAGTGAGGACGCCTTATCTTCTTGACCTTTGCATTCTTCTTGAATTTCTGCATTATTTCTTGGTTATTCCTTTTATGCCGAAACCATAAATTAGAGGCATTTGATGCCAACGAAAAAAATGTTTATGTTCTAGACTTTCCAGTAAGTCCATATTTCATTACAATATAGTATAGTAACCCCATTTACAGTTTTAATCTGTTACATTCCATGACTGTGAACATTGCCGACTATTTTATTAGGTACAATTATAAAGCACTGACAAAACTCGCTCCTTTTGTGACAGCCATGCCATTCTGAGGTATCTTGCAACGGTGTTCCCTGGAGTTGCAGATCACTGGTGCGTAATGCTACTCCATTTGCATTGCCTGCTTTTTCGTGTTACAAGAATTTTTTCTTTAGCTGTGGTTTTCGGGCAACTTATGTGCATTCTTCTGCTATTGGATTGCCTTGAATTATGCAGCAACCGAGGGTCAAGTATACCACTTAGTCACTTACGTTGCCCCATTGTTGCATTTTATCCACATATTTTCGCCATGTACTAGGTCTAGATGAATCATATCTCTACTCCAAAGGATATGCATTTGGTGTGTAATGCTACTCCATTTGCATTGCCTGTTTACAAGAATTTTTTCTTTAGCTGTGGTTTTTGGGCAACTTGTGTGTTCTTCTGCTATTGGATTGCCTTGAATTATGCAGCAACCGAGGGTCAAGTATACTACTTAGTCACTTGCGTTGCCCCATTGTTGCATTTTATCCACATATTTTCGCAAAGTACTTGGTCTAGATGAATCATATCTCTACTCCAAAGGATATGCATTTGGTGTGCTGTCACTTTAGAAAATCTTGTGGCTGAATATACGTGGACAGTTGTGTGTCATTTGCATGGTCTTTTTTTTTTCCTAGAAAAGTGGCATTCTTTGCATATGCATATATGTATGTGATTGATTCATCTTAGAGAAAGTCAGTCATGTATGGTATTTTTAGATTTGAGGGTAGTTTTTTTGTATTTTTAACATTAACTCTTATAGAATTATTTATTTGACATCTTGCCATGCACAGTTACTATGCTTGTTATTATGACAAATAAGGCTATGTTCTTCCCCCATCTTTCCCAACTCAACTCTCTCGTTTTCCGCACGCACGCTTCCCAAACTACAAACTGTGTGTATTTTGCAAAAAAAATTCTATAGGAAAGTTGCTTTTAAAAAAAATCATATTTATCCATTTTTCAAGTTTAGTTTAGCTAATACTTAATAAATCATGCACTAACCGCCACTCCGTTTTGCGTGTTGGGAGCTCCCGAACTCAGCCTAAGCATGGTATTGGAACCTTCACTTGCTTCTTTCTAGGCTAGACAGAGAAACTTGGATTGCAATTACTTTATTCCATCTTATATATAAACTATATCTTACAGTATATTCAGTCAAGCCTTTTGAGTTTAATGGTTTATTTCCCATGGTATTGCATAATAATTTGATTTGCTTCAACTGGCTTTGAGCTAATGGTTATCCAAAGATTTTGGTTGCTTCTATAACTTAAAGGTTTTGCTGCCGATTTTCCATGACAGCTCATGCAATCTGATTCGTTTCAGTCACTTGTGATATGCTGGGTTTTCAAATTGATTTTCCTTGCAATAGCCCACAAGTTAGGATTCTTCTGTTCTTATTCCCTCCGGTCATCTTTATTTGACGCTGAGAGAGCTTAGTTTAGTTCTACCAGTGTCAAATATAAAAATGACTGGAGGGAGTATTTTTTAGTTAATACATTGCATTATATATTTACCATTGCTTTAGTCCAAAAAATTTCAGCTTGTTTCAATTAGTTTTGAGATGACATGCTACTGAGTTTTGGCAAGATGATACTTGCACTGGATATGCCACATTATAGCCATGAGTCTGCCATAGTGTGAGAGTTTGTCAGTCATTTTTTAATGAATGGATACTGTTCAAAGTTTAAGTCTCTGTTTTATCATATCTTGTCTCTTGTAGGTATCCTGCAGACCTGTTCACCAGAGCCAAACTTGAGGCCATCTTGGATTGGCATCATTCAAATTTGCGTCGTGGTGCAGGTGAGAAGTGAACCCAGTATACAATGTAAAAAGGAGAGGTAGTGTTAGGCTTTTTCGTTCATCATGTGGAGTTATCATTAACCAGAAGTCCAATTTTCTGCTATAGTTCCGACTCTGATTTCAAATGATCCTTCCATCAATGCATTTGAAGCACACCTTAAACATAGAAAGGAACGTTTGCAGTTTGTGGCAACCTAAAAACCTAATTAGGTAAATTTATTTTGCACTAGCTAAGCCTTTTTTCCATCCTTTAATTCGTTTTATGCAGCAACCTTCATACTGAACACCGTGTTGGCTCCTTCTCTTGGACTTCCGTCAAGCCCTCAGGCTGCAAAAGAGGCAGAGAAAGTACTGTTCCGGTCCCTGGGACTGATTGAATCTATGTGGCTCAAAGGCAACGCAAAGTTCTTACTGGGCAATCCTCAGCTATCAATCGCAGATCTTAGCCTTGTTTGTGAAATAATGCAATTGGAGGTACGTGTATATTGCCACATCAATTTATACGCACCATTTCAATTTTGTTGCCCATGAGTGTCACCTCCAACGATTTGCCTGTAAATACAAAATCTGCTGAATCCAGCCAGACTATGGTTTCCTCTTAAGCATTCAAACAAGCCACAGCCACATCATTTGAGAAACTTGAAAACTTCACATTAGGAGTTGTTTCTAAAAGAAAAGGAAAATGACTCTTAAACTAATATGCAGGTCCTCGGTGATAGTGAACGCGACCGGATTCTTGGACCTCATGAGAAAATCCGCAGTTGGGTTCAGAATGTGAAGAAAGCCACAAGCCCTCATTTTGATGAAGTCCATGAGCTCATTTTCAAGATGAAGGAACGTATGGCTGCAAAGCGCCAATCTGAGCCGAGCAAAGACTTGAAGACAGCATCAAAGCTCTGAGGGTACCCGTACTACTCTCGTATATAGCAGCAGTGTCCATGATGAACAAAAGGAAAGCAATAATCGAAGGAAAAGAAGGAAGAACAAGAAAGTTATATATCTTGTCTTTTTTTTTAAAAAAAATGATTTGTGGTAAATTTGGAGGAGATTATGCTTGACTATTCCAATTTGTAACATTGCATAGGAACAAAAGTGGTGTTTAAAGCATTGACAATTCAATTTACTGTTCTAATTTGTAACATTGCAGAGTTTTTTCAATAAAACAAACTGTGGTGTTTGAAGCATTTCTTTTTTACTCGAGAAGGGTGATCGCACATGCGTTCTCTGATTTTCAAAAGGACTACTGCTGTCTGCCTTACTCCTCATACGTAATCATGGGGATGTGCCTCGGAAGATGATATATGTGCACTCAAAATACAGATTTTTTTATCGATTTTTGTTAATATGCTTTTTAAATTGTTAAATGGTGTATTTTGTGTGAAAACTTTCTAAACATAAGTTGATTTAAAATATTTGATAAATTCATTTTTCAAGTTTAAAATAATTAAAACCTAATTAATCATGCGCAAATGGCTTTCTTGTTTTGCGTGCCTACTTAATTTTCATCCAAGGTAGGTTTGACACAGGGATTAAGTTAACACTTAGATTAAGTTATTGTAGCTTCTTGGAAGCATAGTTGAAAAAATCGAACTGGTGTGTAACATGGTCAACCTCACGGTTCACCGGTCCAACGGTTTTTGGTCAAACTGCGGTTTACTAATGTAGAGATAAAGCATATGTTCCAACTGAACCACTTGAGGTTGACTCCCCAACTTGCTCCTTTTCTTGGGGATTTTAGCCAAATGAAAGAAAAAGTGTAGCGGGCGTGCAAGTTAACTGGCATTTCTTCTAGCCCTCGGTCAGACCGACGGCGGTTTATAATTGTTCACCTAACAACAGGTCGGTTCGAGCGGTCCAAAGCGAGCCAATAGCATGTCCAGTCTTTCCATCAAGCCGAATAGTGCTGACATCTTCATTCTGGTTTTTTTCTGGTCCAACCATCGGCCTGATTGGTTTTTTTCCCACTATGATTGGAAGAGGGGGAGACTTCGCATCTGGCTGGATGCCTGTATGAGCATCTTCTTCGTCCCCCTCATTTGATGCCTCACTGATATCACTCCAAATCCTGAGTCGTCCATGACGGCTCCACCCACCTGAGCAGCACGCAAGCTCTCCCCACCACCACCACCACCACCAGCAGCAGCCAAGAGCAGCAAGAACAAGAGCTTGGCCCTCTACTTCTTTTGCAAGGTCAGCTGCATCGATTCAACTGTACTCCTCCCTCTACTTTGCTGGTGCAGTTTGCAGGTGAATACTTTTCTGTTCTGAGTTGTTAGGGAAGCATTTGTAGAGAACACAACAATTGATCTGGGTAGACTGGGTTTTATTGTGTAAAATTGGGACCGAAACAAATAGCAACTTTTAGTTTCTTGTGTTTCTTGTATGAACTGGTCGTTGGTACTGCCAGATCTGAGCAAACGATGTAGGATCTGGTCATCTGATAGTTGTGTCCAGTAAGAGTTAAAGTTACATAGGATGCCACAACCATCTTCTCTTTTCTGCATTTGAAAGAACGTCTGAAAAATCGACGGCTAGATGATTTGTTTGTTCTTAGAGATTTTGTGATTTTTCTAATTTATTAAAATACCACGTGATGGCGTAAGAGCGTTTATAGGAGTGCTATGTGGCAGCTTGAGAGCGTTTATAGGATGTTTCATGGACTTATAGTATATAATAGACTAGGAGGGTAGCCCACTTATACGCACGGGCATGTATTAAGTTGTGTTCGATAAACTTATAAGATCGGAATATTAACCAGATAGTACATTCTATTCTTCAAATTTCAAAAGTAGTATTTCTCTACGAATGTTCTTCAACAATATTACTTTGATAATTTTTATAAGCTATTTGTTAGTTTTATGCAATAAATATTTAATTTATCCCTATGAGTAATTATCCGTCCTCATTATTTAGAAAGAAAGGTAGACTTATTTTGTTAAGAAAACATGTCAAACAAATTAAGTGTACATTAAAACTAAGGTGTTATTCTTTTTAGTCGAATGTTTAGGGACTCTTTTTTAGTAAATCATGGAAAACTATTATTACTGTTTTATTTATACCATTAAGCTAGGCCTCATAATTGGTTCACATTGACACAATTTACTACACACTTACATATAAATGAATAAAGACACATAAGTTATACATATCTTAGGCCTCGCTCCTACAGTACTATTTTAGAAAGAAAAGATGTGCAGTCAACATAAGTCCTAGAATTTAAATTTAATAGTAACAAATATAACTTTTAAACCAACTGCGTACTGCTACCTTAATGTGGTTTATATAAGTAATAATATGTGGAGAAAAACAAGACGGTTAATATCTAAGCACTTAAAAATAGTTATGGCAATGATTGTTTCAATTTGAAGGAAAAGTAAGAACTAAATTATTTTATGAATTTATTAGATTTCCTCTAATTGGTTCAACTTACTTCCTATTGATATTTCCTATTTTCTGTTTTATTTTGTACAAGTATTTGTTTTTCAAAATATAGGCATTATGAATCATAAATTGTTGATTCAATTATAAATAGAGCAACAGTTAGATTAGAAATCAGATGTGTGGTTTAAAAACTAGGATCATTTCAAATATTATTGATTATGTCTCATTTAATTGATAGCTAAAAAATAGAAATGGGGAGAGAAGTGGAGAGTACTTTCAAATTATTGATTATTTTAAATTACATTGTTAGGTTTTAAAAAATGAGGATGGAATTGAACACGACAGAAAAGTGGGGGAGGAGGCATGCATACATGTGTTGGGTCCAAGAGGGGAGTTTTGTTTTGTGTAAGATATATCAGAATATTGGGCCCATTGGTTTAATCATAACTTGATGGTTAGATGATTTACTTTTTTTTTTCTCGTAACTTTTATGATTTTTCTAAATTTAGAGATGTGACATGTGGTATTCTATGAGCTCTATAGATGTTTATGATCATTTGAATATTTAATCTTTGATCATTGAATTATTGATGCGACTATAAATAAAACATATATATACTAAAAATTGGTATATGATTTCAAGATTAGGGTCATTTTGAATATTTAATATATGATCGTTTCTATCTTGAGTTGTCTATTTAGAATTTGAAAGGGGATTAGAGGGCATGGGAGGGATAGGATTACATGCATCCATTTTGCATGTTTGGTGGAAGCCACACGAAGCTAGGTGCCTAGTATTTCTCATTCATCCCAGAAACATTATGTTTTAGGCCTAGTTTAGTTACAAACTTTTTCTTCAAACTTTCAACTTTTCCATCGCATCAAAACTTTTCTACACACACAAACTTTCAACTTTTCCGTCACATCGTTCCAATTTCAATCAAACTTCCAATTTTGGCATGAACTAAACACACCCTTAGGTTTCTATCTCAATTAACCACCTTACAAAAGAGAAGAGGTGTGTTGCACCATGATAACAGAATATGTGCGTACTTTTTTTTTAAAAAAACGAGTATGTGAGCACTTGTAGGGCCAAAAGGGGATCAGAAGGGTGTTTTACAAAATGATTCATGGTTGAAAATAATGGTTCACCAGATTAAATGAAAACCGACAGTTAGAGACTTTTTTTTTCTCTCAAAATTTCTTGGAATTACTCCAATTTATTAGAGTGTCATGTGGTGGCCTAAAAGCATTTGTAAAAATTTGTTTAGTACCGTTTGTAGGAAGTTTCATAGACTTTAAGTAGATAATATATAGATAGATATTTTATTACTATTTGGTTGCGATATAAAGGATATTTGGTATAAGTCATACGGCGTATTTTCATTTATATAAAATGTGAGAAATATAGGTTGGTTTAGTTATAAATTAAGTAACAGTTTAAATTATTTAAAAAGTGAAGAAATTTCTAAAAAAATTATGGTCCTGCTTGTACTGAGGACGTTCGAGGCGGAAGGGATTTGTTTTCTTATAAAAAATGTTGGTCTAATGGTCTAACTAATATTGTGTGAAAATAAGTGATAACTAATATTGCATAAAAATAAGAGAGATAGATAGAATAGAAGGGAGAAGAGCCGTGCATGATTAGGATGGTGTAGGGGTGCCAATACACGTACCGATGTACATATAGGTACATACGTACATAGAGATAACGGGAGGAAGCGAGGAGGGTGGGAAAGATTTGTTTTTTTTCCTCTAACATAAGAAAACAAAAAAAAGGATAGACCAAGTGATTGAAAATGGTTGGTATAGCGAAAATCGAGAGTTAGATATTTTACTTTTTTCTCATAATTTCTTAGATTTTTTTTTTTAAGTACCATGTGGTACCCTGAGAGCGTTTATAAGAAGTTTAATGGACTTTCAAGTATATAATATAATATAATATAATAGATAGATGGGAGAAAACATAATGGTATAAACTTATTGTGAAACATTAATTGTATAGCTAATTTATTTATATCTGTGGTAAAGAGTCATATACTCCCTCCGTTTTATAATATATGACGCCATTGACTATTTTAGATACGTTTGACCATTCGTCTTATTTAAAAATTTATGCAATTATCATTTATTTTATTGTGACTTGATTTATCATAAAATGTTATTTAAGTATGACTTAAATTCTTTTATATTTGCAAACAAAAAATGAATAAGACAAATGGTCAAACGTTTGCAAAAAAAATCAACGGCGTTATATATTATAAAATGAGGGTAGTATAATATAGTCCATGCTCGTAAAGTTATAATTATTTTAAATTTATTGTTACTCTAATAAATATTATCTTGACTATACATTATAAAGGAATAACAAATAGGAAGGAGAGGAAGTGCAAGTACCTAACATACAGACTGCACGCAAGTACGTACTCAACTACAGAAAGGGACGAAGGAGAGGTGGGACACTATCCAGGAGAGGACTCTACGTCTCTGGTTTATTTTAATATCAATCTAATCTAACAGCTTATAATATTGCACCCATTAATTTAAGTGAAAATCAATAGATGAATGTTTCTTTTTTTTCTTAGAATTTTTACGATTTTCCCTAATTTATTAGAGCGTCACATGGCAGTCTAAGAGTGTTTTAAGGAAGTTTCGTGGTTTTTTAGTATATAATAATACATAGAATAATTTGTGCTTTATTGTGACTATGAGATCTTGATGCGATTCATTTGGATCCTGAATTATTGTTGTTAGTCCTTGTCCTTGACAAATATTATTGTTACTTACATATATTGAGTGAGTTTGGCTAGCAACGGTACCTGACTAGTGACTACCTGATAACTGTATTTATGTCCTCTATTTAATAGTTAAGCAGTTTCAACAATTATTCAGTTTTGCATTCATTCAAAGCTCTGCCTTATGTGTAAACATGCCATGTCTTAGTGATCCATCTGGAATGGAGTTCGCTACAGGGGTAATGAGCACGCTTCTTTCCAAGCTAGCGGAGCTGCTCAAGGAACAATATGATCTGCAGAAGAGTGTGAAGGAGGGGGTAACATTTCTCATGGCTGAGCTCAAGAGCATACAAGCTGCACTTGAAAAGGTCTCAAAGGTGCCGCTAGACCAACTTGATGAGCAAACCAAGATCTGGGCTTGGGACATTAGGGAGTTGTCCTATGACATGGAGGACAACATTGATACCTTCATGCTACGTGTGGATGGTCTTGAGCCAGCCAAGAAACATAATTTCACATGCTTAGTTGACAAGTGCCAAAAGTCTTTGTCCAAGATAAAGATCTGCAACAAAATAGCCAATGAAATTAAAGATATCAAGAGCCAAGTAAAGGAGGTGATGGAACGACGCGATAGGTACAAGATTGATGATGTCGCTACTAACCTTTCAACATTTGTGGATCCTCGCATCTTAACATTATATGGGAATGTCACGAAGCTTGTTGGGATTGACAAGGCAAGGGATGATCTAATGAAGAGATTGTCTGTGGGGGATGAAGCGCTCAAGAAGCTCAAGATGGTCTCTGTTGTCAGAATTGGAGGATTGGGCAAGACAACTCTTTCCAAAGTAGTGTTTGACATGCTTAAATTGCAATTTGATTGTGCTGCTTTTGTTCCTGTCGGTCAAAGCCCTGAAATCAAGAAAGTCCTAAAGGACATTCTAGTTGAACTTAACAAGCAAAAGTACATGTCATTTGATGTTACCGCAGTAAGTGAAAGGCATATGATTAATGAGCTTCGAGAATACGTTGACAATAAGAGGTAAGTGTGTAGTACCTAACATTTTCTTTTTTTGCTTTCCATGATGAACTTAAGCTCATGGGAGTTCTATAAGCTACTAGAAGAGTGCTTTATTAGTTTATGGTTGCGATAGCTGTAGACCTTTATCTATACTACTGGTATATAGAACTTTTTCTATATTTCTTTAACAATAAAAGAATGAAAATTTTGCATTAGGTTAGGAAAACAGAAAATGCTATGAATTCTAATGTTAATTGCTGAACAGGAAAAGATATATGACCATCTAACTACATTAATCCACTCATTGCTAGTGCCACACACCAATTTGATCTAAAACCATTTGATTCAATAGAATTAACTTATATAATGAGAATTATTTTTGCACACAATTGTTTTGGGCACTCATATTGCTTCAGTTTGAGAAAATGATAATTAAATAATCTCTTATTTATACATATATACGGTTTATCATTTCACTAATCCATGCCCCTTCTATTCCCATGGGGATAGGTACTTGATTGTTATTGATGATGTATGGGACACATCAAAATGGAACATTATTAAATGTGCTCTGATTGATAGTAATTGTGGAAGCAGAGTAATCACAACAACTCGTATTTGTCAAGTTGCCAGTGAAGTTGCTGAAGAATTTGGTGGTGTTTACATTATGGAACCACTTTCTGATGACAACTCAAAAAAGTTATTCTACAGTAGAATATTTGGTTCTACCTACAATGGTTCAACTGGTAATCAATCGGTCGAGGCAACCGAAAAGATCTTAAAGAAATGTGGTGGCATACCACTATCTATAATTACAATATCTAGTTTGTTAGTTGATAAACCTGTAGGAGACTGGTCTGCAATTTACGACTCTATTGGTTTTAGGACTAGAGATCAAAATGAGGCAGTTCAGAACACAAGGAAGATATTGTCTTTTAGCTACTATCACTTGCCCACATACCTAAAGACATGTATGTTGTACCTGAGCATATATCCAGAAGATCATTTGATTGGAATGGATACTTTGATATGGAAGTGGGTAGCCGAAGGCTTTATCCAGGAGGAACAAGATAAGGAGTTATTTGAGGTCGGCAAGAGGTACTTTATTGATCTTATCAATAAAAGCATGATCCAGCCAATAGAGGAAGAGGGCAGTGTGTTTGGCTGCCGCATACATGACATGGTATTAGATCTCATCCAAAACATAACAGCCGAAGGAAACTTCGTAAAAATATTCAAGAAACTACATGAGGTGTGCAGGCTGTCTTCACAGAGGACTAATGTTCGTAGGATAGCACTGCACGACAATTGGAACCAACTCAAAAACAATGACCTGGACGTTGCCCTGACACAATTGAGGTCATTCAATGCCATCGAGTGTACTATCAGCATGATGCCCTCTCTTCTGAGCTTCCAGGTTCTACGCGTGCTAGAGCTACAAGGCTGTAACGTCACGGGAGGTTTATACCTCAAGCATATCGGAAAGCTACGTCAGTTGAGGTACCTAGGTATGAAAGACACACGTGTTGCTGAGCTTCCGATGGAAATAGGGGATCTCGTGCACCTGCAAACACTGGATGTTCGTTACACAGGCCTGAAGGAACTGCCGTCAACCATTTGTAAGCTAAGCAAGCTGATGCGGCTGTGCGTCGCTGGAGGAATGAGCGTGCCGATGGGTGTTGGGAATCTGAGTTCACTGCAATACCTAAAGTTGGGCTGGGATTCCATCAAAAGTAACAAATACTTTGCCATGGAGGTCGGCAAGCTGATGGAGCTGAGAATCCTCAACATTTGTGTAGATAACGAGATTGACGAGAGCATGAAGAAGGCTTTGCTAGAATCACTGTGCGGCTTGCGTAAACTCCAGAACCTGGTGATAGATTTTGACTTGATATTTTGGAATACGATGAGCGTCTGGGAAGGCTGGGACCATTGGGAGCCCCCGCGTCAGCTCCGTGATTTCCATATATCCAGCATGTACCTGCCTCGGCTGCCGGCATGGGTGAACCCCATGTGCATCCCATACCTATCCGATCTGCAACTTTATGTGATAGCCATGGAAGCACGGGACCTGGACATGCTTGCAAGGATGCCAGCACTCCGCACACTCATCCTAAGAACCCGGCAGAGAATTTCGTGGACAGTTGGTGGTACCGGACTGTTTCCGAACCTGAGATTCTGTGAGATGAACATAGCACTCACATTTCTTCAAGGAGCCATGCCGATGCTCACGGAGCTTCAATTCGAGCTGTGGGCCGCTGAAGATGGTGCCGCCGCTGGTGATGTTGGCTTGGGGCAACTCCCTCTGCTCAATTACATTGGGCTTCTCCTCATGTGCACCGGTGCGACGGGCAGGCAGGTGGAGGAAGCAGAGGTGGCGTGGAGGCGCATGGTGAATGCTCACCCGAACCGTCCTGCCACTGTTGTGCATCGAATTGGAAGGTATTTCTGGTTTGGTTAATCATGTTAAAAAAAGTATTCCCTCTATTTCACAATGTAAGTCATTCTAGCATTTTTCACATTCATATTGGTATTAATAAATCTAGACATATATATCTATCTAGATTCATTAATATCAATATGAATGTGGGAAATGCTAGAATGATGACTTACATTGTGAAACGGAGGAAGTACCGCTTTCTTAATCAATTGATTAGTTCACATTCCGCTACCTACACGCACGCCTTCATAGCTCTGCTTCGGACTGCTCTCTAAATTCTGTAACTAATCAGCTTTACTTGTTCTCAGTTGGCGTATTTCGTTCCTCAGTTCATATCGCTCTCGCACTTTCTTTTTTCAGCACCTGATGAAAGAAGGTGATGATGATGAGGAGATTTCAGCTAGCTAAGGATCACATTGACGAGAATGGTGACGACGAGAATTCAGCATATTTGGACCAAGAGGTGCTGCACTTGCATGTGTCGTGCATACCTATTCGATCCTGGTCACGCGATATTACATGATTTACTGACCATTGGTTAATTTGTTGCCTGTTTCTATCAAATGGTAGAGGGGGAGATATACTGTGAATGTTGACACATTGTATAGAGCCTTTAGGGGACCGGTATATATAAGGAAGCCTACGATACAAATCAATCATATCCTAATAAATACATCTCTGACTACCATATACTCTAACATCCCCTCACAGTCCAAGTGTGAGCAGCGCGGATGGTTAGACTGGAGAAAAAAATCGATGAGAGTGGTCAACACGAATGATAGACCTTTGTCTCGTAGTCGATGTAACCAAAGCAAAGAAGTTGTGGTTGATGAACATAGGCCGATCTGAATAGTAGAGGAAAAGAGATATACTACAAATATTGACACGTTATATTGAGTCTCAGGGAGACAATATACATAAGAGATACGTGAGATAGAGATAAGGAAGCCTACGATACAAATTAGAGCAATTCTACAGTCCTTGAGGAGATACCATGAGGTACTACTTTTTCTATTGTAAATTTGATACCTCATTGTATCTAGGTACCATAAGGTACCAAATTTTACACTAGGATTTTGGTACCTCGTGGTACCTCCTCAAGGACTGTAAAATTGCTCTACAAATTAAGTATATCCTAATACATCTCTAAATACCTATACTCTAACAGTTTCAGTCGGACAATGATCTAGCTAAAGAGGAGGAGGCGGTGGCGGCTACGAACCAATCTTGAACCAGCTCTCTGTACTCATTCGGTCATGCATGCAGTTACTTGTACCAAAGATGTACATCAACATCTTCGTAACATTAATCCTTCAACTTTGATCATACCATGATAATAACATTTCTTTCCGTCTGTAATTAAACAGCGGCATCAGGAGAATAATGAGGAGAATAAAAGGGAGGAATTGAGAAGAACTGAAGAGAAGCTCACCTCCATCTCTGGACCCTTTATTTTTGTTGTTATTTTTCTTTCAGCGATTTTCTGCAGGATTTATATACTGTGAATTGCAATGGCTGTCTCAGCTACAATAAGGCCCAACTAGGCTCAGACACAAATATGAGCATATTAGCCGCTAAACCGTCATGTGTGATTTTTTGGAAAATTTTGCTACACGAGACCTAAAGTTTTTTTAATTTGCTGATAGACATCATAAAAACGTGTTATGTCTGAAAGACATCCCAAAAGTTTGGTAATTTGTTGGAGGACACTTTTAGGCCAAGTGAAGAGATAAATTCTTCAAGTAAATGAGAATGCCCCTAGAGCCACATGCTTTTAACATGGCGCTAGAGTGAAATTTTGAAAATTATGCAACCCTAAATTTGTTATAACGCGAAGTACGTTGCTAGCATGTATCTGTTAACGTGAAAATTTGGTAAGCCCCGAAGTCATCAGCCTAGAGTCAGTATCGGCTTCAGAGTCCTGGAATCGATCGATGGAAATTATCAACTGCCAGTAGTTGAATTCTTGATGGATTCGGTTAAGGAAATTAATCAATTAAAGGAAGTTTATCTAGAAGAGACCGAGTTCAAGGAGGATGTGGCATGGCAATTTTATCTATTAATTAGAGAGAGTCAGGTAGTTTCATTTTATTTTTAGGAATGTATGTTTAGTGTCCGATCATGACTTGTGTTTTTCTTTTTATCTTTAGGAAAGTTTGAGTTGTGTCCAATAAGGACTAGTATATACCCGTGGGTATAAATATATACACCTGGGATCATTGTAATCTATCTCTCGATCAATTCAACAACTCTCGGCACATCGCCACCCTCTTTTCCAAGGTTTTTTATTTATCACCGGTGGAACTTGGCACCTGACGCGGGGTTGCATCAGCTTTCGATCTCCGGCGAAGGGGTAAGTCCTAACTTCCTCCGGCAAATTGTATTGGCTACATTGATGTTGTTCAAGGTTGCATCGCTTCGATCTCTTGGATCGCTCTGGTTCGGTTGATATATTTGCCCACCTATCTATCATATATCTTCTTCAATCTGAATCGATGATGCAGTTCACCTATATCGGCTGGGCTTTTTCTAGGGTCTTGTTGGTATCGGCTAAACTGTACCTATCGATTTAGATTGGTTAGGGTATCCACTAGCCTGAAAATTAGTCAAAGGCTTGATTGTTTAGACTTTATGCTTCTTTTCATACTTAGTGTTACATCAATTGGGTTTGACCTACTAATTCATGATTAGAATCATAAAAACTAGCATGCCTTTGATTGTCAATAAGTGTTTCATCGGGGTTTCAGCCGACATTACATTGGCTTATAAGGATTATATACAAGTTGTTTTTAGCCGATTGCAGCAAAGGCTTCATTGATTATTTAATTATTTGGATTTGATGACATCGGATCTTTGGCCGACGTGTGCTTTAACCATCGGATCGGTACTTATCCTATGGGTGTAAACCTGTGGGGTGCAAGTGGGTGTTCAAAAAGAAGCTGAGGCCTGATGGTACCATTGAAAAGTACAAGGCTCGGCTTGTTGCTAAGGGCTATACTCATAAAGAAGGTGAAGATTTCTTTGACACTTACTCACCTGTTGCCAGATTGACCACAATTTGTGTGCTATTTTCCCTAGCAGCCTCACATGGTCTTCTTGTTCATCAAATGGACGTTAAGACAGCTTTTCTTAATGGAGAGCAGGATGAGGAGATCTATATGGATCAGCCTAATGGGTTTGTAGTTGAAGGTCAAGAAGGCAAGGTGTGCAAATTGTTGAAGTCTTTGTATGGTCTGAAGCAAGCTCCTAAGCAATGGCATGAGAAATTTGATAGAACATTGACATCTTCAGGCTTCGCAGTCAATGAGGCAGATAAATGTGTGTACTATCGCCATGGTGGGGGTGAGGGAGTTATTCTGTGCTTGTATGTTGATGACATACTGATATTTGGGACAAATCTTGAGGTGATAAATGAGGTTAAATCATTCTTGTCTTAAAATTTTGATATGAAGGATTTGGGAGTAGCTGATGTTATCTTAAACATTAAGCTAATTAGAGATGAGAATGGGATTACACTCTTGCAGTCTCATTATGTGGAGAAGATCTTGAATCGCTTTGGCTATATTGATAGTAAGCCTTCTCCAACACCTTATGATCCTAGCTTGTTGCTTCGCAAGAACAAGAGAATTGCTAGGAATCAACTGGAATACTCCCAAATCATTGGCTCACTTATGTACCTGGCTAGTGCAACTAGGCCTGATATCTCCTTTGCTGTGAGCAAGTTGAGCCGGTTTACCTCTAGTCCGGGAGATGATCACTGGCGTGCGCTTGAGCGAGTAATGCGCTATCTCAAAGGTACTATGGAATTGGGGTTTCACTATACTAGGTATCCTACGGTACTGGAGGGATATAGTGATTCTAACTGGATCTCTGATGTGGATGAGTTTTGTTGGCTTTAATTAGCGAAGATGCTGTCCTACAGAGCATTCTTGAAAGAACTCACCTTTGTGAGCTTGACTGTTGGTCACAGTCTATGAAGATTTTGGGTGAATCTTCTAGGAAGCTTACTAAAGATCTAGGAGTATGACTTATACGCTCCACCCGAGAGGTAGTCCGCAGACGGTCTAGTACCAGATAAGACTCTGAGTGAAACTTGCTTGCACAAGACTTGCAATTCAAGGTGTAATCTATTGTTTAAGTTGTAAGTAAGTGTAGCTTGGAGTTCTAGGTGTATGTTCAACCTTAATCGGTCTCCATCGAATTGCTGGTATATAAACAGTACATTGGAAAAGGCAAATCTCAGTGGGATTTTGAGATTTGGTGGGGGATTGTTGGAATTAATGGATGGGCTAAGGCCTACTCGAAGATTAATTCTTTGGAAAATCACAAAAGCCCACCTCATGGGATGGCATGCATGGGGAGTTTAGTACCACCTTGTTTATTCTAGGGGAGGGGGACCTCCTTAAAAGGGAGGATGCCCTCCTAGCCACTTGAAGCATGTGTGGTGGAGAGAAGAGGGGGAACACGTGCGCGCTTGCTCGCCTCGCCTGGCAGGGCAGGGCAAGCGGCGCGTGCAGAATGGTCCGCAAAATTGGCTCCTCACCCTTGCGCAGATGCAGCCTCCTTTTGCATTTTTGTTTTGCTGCGGGAAATTCGGATTTGTTTTGTTTTGGAAACATTCCGAAAAATCCGGTGCGTGAAAACGGCGTGGAGTCTGGATATCCGGTTCGGTTACGCGGTGTGGAGATCATGCGGGCGCCCTGATCAAGCGACCTATCTCTATATAAACCGAGCCGCCTTCTTCACGCAAGACATGTGAAATCAATCTAGGGTTTGCCTCCGTGTGCTGCGCCGTCGCTCGTAGACTACTCCATCCCGCTCGCCGGCGTGCACCAGCGATCGGGAGAGTAGGTCTCCGGAACATCTGCCTTCGACGTCCTGCACCGGGAGAAGGTGGTAATAAAGTTTTTGGGAAGCGTTTTGCGCGACTGCTTCCAGTTCGTTCGCGACGGCTCGTCTTCCCCTTCGCTCGTGTGCTGCGCGCCTTCGTCGACGTCCACAACCGCGAGTGATTCCTGCCGTGCAACCGGTTGTTCCGCAACCTCGGTACGTGTTCAATATGTTGCGCATATTTGATCTGTTTATGTTTTACTGCTTAGTTTACATGTGTAGATCTAATGATGCGTTAATGCTAGTGCACATCTGTAATGTCATGATTTTTTAATGGAATATATTAAATCATAGTATGCCTATAATCTCAACACCTGTTTCAGACGGACAGTGATGCAGCCAAAGAGGAGGAGGAGGCTACGAACCAATTTTGAACCGGCTCTCCAGCCAGCATTCGTTCGGTCATGCCTGTAGGTACATGTACCAGAGTTGCAGACCAAAATCTTCTCATAACGTTCATCAACTTTGGTGATACCATGATAACTTCTCTTTCCGGCTGTAATTGAAATGCAGCAGCTGTAGAACAAGCAGAAGAATAAATTGGAGAAGACTTGAGCAGAACTGAAGAGAAGCACAGGGCAGGAGCAGCTCATAATCCTTCTCTGGGCCTTTATTTTTCTTGTAACATTACAGAGTTCTTTCAATTAAAAAAACTGTGGTGTTTGAAGAATTTTTTTTTACTCGACAAGAGTGATCGCACATGTGTGCTCTGATTTTTCAAGGACTACCGTCTTTCTTACTCCTCACATGTAATCACGGGGCTATGCATTGGAAGATGTATCTCTGCACTTTGATTAGATTAAGTACACAGAGTTCTTCTGCTATAGCTTCGTACACAGATTTCAAATGATCTATCCTTCCATCAATACAATTAAAGCACACCTTAAACATAGAAGGGGACGTTTGCAGTTCGTAGCAACCTAAAATCCTAATTAGGTAAATTTATTTTTGCACTAGCTAAGCTTTTTTTTCCATCCTTTAATTCGTTTTATGCAGCAACCTTCATACTGAACACCGTGTTGGCTCCTTCTCTTGGACTTCCGTCAAGCCCTCAGGCTGCAAAAGAAGCAGAGAAAGTACTGTTCCGACTGATTGAATCTATGTGGCTCAAAGGCAACGCAAAGTTCTTACTGGGCAACCCTCAGCTATCAATGGCAGATCTTAGCCTTGTTTGCGAAATAATGCAGTTGGAGGTACGTGTATATCACCACATCAATTTATCCGCACCATTTCAAATTTAACGCCCATGAGTGTTACCTCCAACGATGTGCCTGTAAATACAAAATCTACTGAATCCAGCCAGACTATGGTTTCCTCTTAAGCATGCAGACAAGCCACAACTACATCACTTTTGACTTGAGAAACTGGACAACTTCACATTAGGAGTTGTTTCTAGAAAAAAAGGGAAAATGACTCTGGAACTAATATGCAGGTCCTCAGTGATAGTGAACGCGACCGGATTCTTGGACCTCACGAGAAAATCCGCGGTTGGGTTCAGAATGTGAAGAAAGCCACAAGCCCTCATTTTGATGAGGTCCATGAGCTCATTTTAAAGGTGAAGACACGTACGGCTGCAACGCTGGGATCTGAGCTGAGCAAAGACTTGAAGACAGCATCAAAGCTCTGAGGGTACTACTCTCGTATATAGCAGCAGTGTCCATGATGAATGAACAACAGGAAAGCAATAAGGCAAGGAGAAGAAGGAACAACAAGAAAGTAATACATATCTTGTCTTAAAAAAATGATTTGCGGTAAATTTGGAGGAAATTACGCTTGACTATTCCAATTTGTAACATTACATTCTCACAAAAAAAAAGTAACATTACATGGTGTTTGAAGCATTTACTCTGCAATTTACTGTTACAATTTGTAACATTTCAGAGTTTTCTCAATTAAAAAAATGTGGTATTTGAAGCATTTCTTTTTTTACTCGAGAAGAGCGATAGCTCTGATTTTTCAGGAACTACTGCTGTCTGCCTTTTACTACTTCTCAGAGCAAGTTTAATAGTATAGCCAACTACTAGCTCCAATTCATTTATAGCCAATCTAATAGCTCATTCATGCAACTAGGAAGGTAGCCCGCGCGAATGCGCGGGCATGCATCGTACACTAAGTTTGAGATACTTATAAGAGCGAAATATTAACCGGAGAACATATGCCATGATTTCTCCGTCTTTTTCATTGGCATTAATTGCTTTTATAATTTTCAAACCTATTAGCTTTATATTACATCATATTTAAGTAATATCTATAAGCAATTATTTATAATCTTCTTCATTGAAAAGAAGGTAGACTAATTATCTTTAGAAAACATGTCACCGAAAGTAAAAGTAAGCGTAAAGTAAAAGTAAGGTTTTTTTCTAAATGCATATATATTATCATGGTTTATCAGAGGATGAATTGGGTTAGACATGAAGCTGCACTAAATTCTATATAGTCTAATATGATTGATGTAGTTTGAGAGGTGGTCTATCTATGAACATTTTATGTAGAGTGGGTAAGAGGTTCTATGCAACTTAACATGAATACAATAATGATAAAATATAATTGCGCAATAATATTTTTGAAATGTGATGTACCATACATACACGCTAGTTTTTCTTAGAAATAATGGTTCCACCGATTTAAAAGGCATAGGAATATTCCAAAAATATAATGTAGCTTAAAAATTATGGCTATTTTAATATTCAACATTATTGCGAAGTAGACGTGTCTCAACTGGTTAGGTTCCTTGTGGTGGAACTTGCCCACTCGGATTCAAGTCCTAGGCTGTCAAATTATTTCAGTGGTAGACGACGTACCCGCCGATAATGAGGTGCTCATGGCGACTTTGTCAATATGAAATTATGTGGACCTAGTCTCTCAGAAGTACTCATAGGGGTAGGATGTGCGTGTGTGCATGCGTTGTGAGCGCCTGCGTACGTTTGTACTTTGTTTCTCAAAAAAATATCCAACATTATTGATATTTCTCTTTTAATTTAATAGATAAAAAATAGGGAGGGGACGGACAATGTTGTGTGCGTGCGAAGGCAAGGAGGGGGGTGTAGGAGATTTTATTTTTCTAATTTTCCTAAATGATTGAAGTGAAAGCCAATGAAAGGGTGTTTCATTTTTTTCTAAGAATTTCTAAGGTTCTTTTTGTTTTTTATATGACGTGACACATGGCGACTTAAGACTTCTTTTAAAAATAGATCTAATAGTTAAAATAATGGATACATCAATTTATTTGGTTTTTCTTAGAATCTTAGGACATAATATATTGTGATTTAGGAGCGCTTTGGGGGCGTTTAATTGATTTTTATTATGTACAGTGATTTAGTATAACGTAATACATATGTTCAATTAATTTTTGTTGTTATTTATTTGTAAGGTAAATGGTAGGGTCTACCCTCAAATGATGTATTTTAACTTTTATATAGCTAGTGTGATCTTAATTTATTATTTAGTTATAAATAAAAAATAGTTATGACTATTTCTGCATTATGTTAGTTAAAAAATAGTAGAAATGGAGATAATGGAATTGGAGAGGAGAGGATAAGAGAGTCGTAGGGGGAGGGTAGAGGTGTAAGTAAAGCAGGAGGATGGGAGGAGATTATTGTTTTTAAGATAGATTGAATATGTCCTAGTTTTGAGTTTTCTATTTTTATAAATACATTTATCTTAGATCTATTAGAAAATACTTTTGGTATTGTATTTTAATTAAACTACTTAAAATGTTTTAAATTGTTCTAATTTAAGTGTATGTTATTAATCAGAAGGTTTAAAAATTTATTTGATTTTTTCTTAAAAATGTATGGATCAGTGAACAATAGCTAGTCCACATAATATATATGATTCGGAGTAATGAATTTTTTTATAATAATATAGTTAACTTGGATCTTCAATTTTAAGTTTTATAGTAGATAATATAATGGTGTACACTAATTAAAAAGTTAGCTATATATGATTTAGATAATAAAGTTGTTTAAAATTCTTTATCATAAAATATTTTTTCCATCTAACTAAAAGAGGAAAACAGGAGAGAAAGGAAATATGTGGGGAGGTACGTAAGCACAATGGGTCCACCGTATATTAGTGAAAATTGACTGTCAGATGTTTTGTTTATTCTCATAATTTTTTATTTTTCTAATTTATTAAAATGCCAAGTAGCGGTGTAGGAGCGTTTGTAGAAGTATTAAATGGCGGCTTGAGAGCGTTTATAGGATATTTAATGGACAAAGAGCTAAATATGCTTCCATATGATAATTTTTAAATTGAAATATAGTTAATATCAAATGTAGTCATAATATTATCACTATACACATCTAATTTAGATAAGTTTATTAGGGATAATTGGATGTTACTTGTATGCATAAAGATTCAAGTAGGGAAAGACGGTGCGTAGTATGTACGTATTTTTCAAATTTTTTTGCTGAACAGTACGTATGTACGTTTCTCTCGTAGCAATTAGGTGGGACTGTGGCGGGGCTAATCCTTCTCTAAATTGTAATTACGTTTTATTTCCTTTTTTATTAAATAAAAATCGATGATTGGATTTTTTTTCTTAGAATTTGTAAGGTTTAATAAATTATTTATTAGAGAGCCACGTGATAGCTTAGGTGTGTTTGTAGAAGTGATGTAATATATATTTTTCTTTATTACAGATAAGATAAATATGCCATGTTTTAAATAGTCATATAGTTGGATTGATCGTTGTTATTTCAGATAGTATACGCATGTGTACGTACAATTCTTCTTCGTGTTGTTTTTGTCAAATAACGAATAGTGTACTTTTTTTTTTGGTAAAAATAGTGGGTTGACTGATTTATTGAAATTATTGATCGTTTGTTTTACTCGATCGTTGGTGCCTATGCACGTATTTTTTTTCCCATCGAATAGTGGTGCTTGTTTTTGGCTCCCCGGGTATGTACGTACAAATCTGTTCTTTCCGGGTTTTTTTTCCTGGCCCTTTTCCTTTTGCTTTTGGGTCCACCGGCAGAGAACCGGAGAAAAACCTACGTACGTAGACATCGGCCGATTAGGGAAAGGAGAGAGATGGATCGTGAGGTTTTAAAAGTTTATTAAGATAAATCTAATAGTTTAAAATAGTGGGTTCACCAATTTATTAGATAGCCACATGGCAACACAGGAGCGTTTGTTGTAGTACCACGTGGCGGCTTGAGAGCGTTTATAGGAAGTTTAATGGACTTTTAGTATATAATAGATAGATAGATAGTTACATACTACACTATCAATAGCTGGTCCCATCTGTCATACACACACTGCGTCTTGGAGTCCGTACTATAGCTGGCTACAAATCAGTAACCCGCTGCTCTTCTCTCTCCTCATTTATCTTCTTAAAATATGTTTGCAGCTGGTTTATAGCCTGCTATTGTACCTGCTCTCAGATGTGCACTTCACCTAGCTCTTCTGGCCCATTTAAAGCAGCGACATGCCCCAGTCTCGGTCTGATCGAAGACGGTTTACGACCGGTTCACCGAACAACCGGCCGGTTCGAGCGGTCCAACCGTCGGCCCGGTTCGGTTTTTTTCCACTATGATTGGAAGAGTGAGAGACTTCGCATCTGGCTGGATAAGTATCTTCTTCCTCCTCCTCAGATGTCTCACTCACTCCAAATCCTGAGTAGTCCATGGCGACTCCACCCACCTGAGCAGAAAGATCTCCTCCACCAGCAGCAGCAGCAGCAGCATCAGCCAAGAGCAGCAAGAAGCCAAGAACAAGAGCTTGGCTCTCCAATTCTTTTGCAAGGTCAGCTGCATTCGATTCAAGTGTACTCCCCCCTCTACTTTGCGGTTGCAGTTTGTAGGTGAACACTTTTCTGTCCTGAGTTGTTAGGCATCTGCAAGGACGTCTGAAACATTTGGAGAGAACACAACAATTAATCTGGGTAGACTGTGTTTTTATTGTGTAAAACTGGGAAGGAAACAAATACTACCAGATCTGAACAAACTATGTAGGAACTGGTCATCTGATAGTTGTGTCTGTCAGAAGATTTGGGGATTAACGGTTACTATTGACTTAGCTCAAAGAGCATATAAATGTGTACAAGATAAGAGAGAAATCCATAATACCCTCAATACTCTTATCAGTGTCTGGTGAGAGTTAAAGTTACAGAGGATGCCACAATCATCTTCTCTTTCTGCATTTGAATGAACATCTGAAACAGCTATATACAATTGAAGAAATTTGTGCTTTGTTGTGACTCTATGAGATCTTGACGCGATTCATTCGGATCCTGAATTATTGTTGTTAGTCCTTAACAAATACTATTGTTGTTACTTACAGATATTGAGTGAGTTTGGCTAGCAAGGATATAGACCTGACTACCTAATAACTGTATTCTGTCCTCTATTTAATAGCTTCAGCAGTTTCAACGATTATTGAGTTTCGCTTTCTTTCAAAACTCTGCCTTTATGTGTAAACATGCTTCGCCAGCTCTTTTGCCAAAATTTCCCATCCTTCAATCCTTGACTGCTAACAGATTTCTTATATGCTTTTTCATTCCAGCAGTGCTTCTCAAAATGGTTTCATGTGTGAACCGAGGCAGCTGTCTGGTGGTGAACAGCACCATATAATCATCACAATAAACAGAGAGGAGGGGGGTGGGGCGTAGTAAACCATCAGGAATGGAGTTCGCCACAGGGGCAATGGGCACGCTCCTCCCCAAGCTGGTGGAGCTGCTCAAGGAACAATATGATCTGCAGAAGAGTGTGAAGGAGGGGATAACATTCCTCATAGCTGAGCTCAAGAGCATACAAGCAGCACTTGAGAAGGTCTCAAAGGTGCCGCTAGACCAACTTGACGAGCAAACCAAGATCTGGGCTTGGGACATTAGGGAGTTGTCTTATGACATTGAGGACAACATTGATACCTTCATGATATGTGTGGATGGTCTTGAGCCAGCCAAGAAACATAATTTAACATGGTTAATTGACAAGTGCCACAAATCGTTGTCCAAGATAAAGATCCGACACAAAATAGCCAATGAAATCAAAGATATCAAGAGCCAAGTCAGGGAGGTGATGGAACGACGTGATAGGTACAAGATTGATGATGTCGCTACTATTCCTCCAACATTTGTGGATCCTCGCATCTTGACATTATATGAGAATGTCACCAAGCTTGTTGGGGTTGATAAGGCAAGTGATGATCTAATGAAGAGGTTGTCTGTGGGGGATGAGGCGCCCAAGAAGCTCAAGATGGTCTCTGTTGTTGGAATTGGAGGATTGGGCAAGACAACTCTTTCCAAAGTAGTGTTTGACAAGCTTAAACTGCAATTTGATTGTGCTGCTTTTGTTCCTGTCGGTCAAAACCCTGAAATCAAGAAAGTCCTGAAGGACATCCTAGTTGAACTTAACAAGGACAAGTACATGTCATTTGATGTAACAACAGTAAATGAAAGGCATATGATTAATGAGCTTCGAGAATACCTTGACAATAGGAGGTAAGTGTGTAGTACCCTCCAATATTTTTGCTTTTCATGATGAACTTATTCTCATGGTTGCAATAGCTGTAGACCTTTATCTGTATTACTGGTATATATAACTTTTTCTATATTTCTTTAATAAAAAAAGAATGAAAATGTTGCATAGATCAGGAAAACAGAAAATCTAACGAATTCTAATGTTAATTGCAGAACAGGAAAAATATATTTAACTATCTAACTACATTAATCCACTCGTTGCTAGTGCCAGAGACCAATTTGATCTAAAACCCTTTGATTCAATAGACTTAAATAATAAGATGAGAATTATGTTTGCACACAAATGTCTTGGGCACTCATATTGCTTCAGTTTTAGAAAATAGTAATTAAATAATCTCTTATTTATATATCAGTACAGTTTATCATTTCACTAATCCATGACCCTTCTATTCTCATGGGGATAGGTACTTGATTGTTATTGATGACGTATGGGAGACATCAAAATGGAACATTATTAAATGTGCTTTGATTGATAGTAATCGTGGAAGTAGAGTAATCATAACAACTCGTATTTATCAAGTTGCTAATGAAGCTGCTGAAGAATTTGGTGGTGTTTACATGATGGAACCACTTTCTGATGATAACTCAAAAAAGTTATTCTACAATAGAATATTTGGTGTTGCCTGCAGTAGTTCAACTGGTAATCAATCGGTTGAGGCAACCAAAAAGATCTTACATAAATGTGGTGGCATACCACTATCTATAATTGCAATAGCTAGTTTGTTGGTTGATAAACCAACAGGAGACTGGTCTATAATTTATGACTCTATAGGTTTTGGGACTGGAGATCGAAATGAGGCGGTTCAGAACACAAGGAAGATATTGTCTTTTAGCTACTATCACTTACCCTCATACCTAAAGACTTGTATGTTGTACCTAAGCATATATCCAGAAGATCATTTGATTAAAAAGGATACTTTGATATGGAAGTGGGTAGCTGAAGGCTTTGTCCAAGAGGAACAAGATAAGCCATTATTTGAGGTCGGCGAGAGGTACTTTATTGAGCTTATAAATAGAAGCATGATCCAGCCAATGGAGAATGATGGTAAGATTTCTGGCTGCCACATACATGACATGGTGTTAGATCTTATCCGAAACATAATAGCCGAAGAAAACTTTGTAAAAGTATTCGACAAACTACATGAGGTGCACAGGTTGTCTTCACAGAGGAGTACTGTCCGTAGGATAGCACTGCATGAGAGTTGGAACCAAGGCAAAAACAATGACCTTGCTGTTGGCATGACACAATTGAGGTCATTCAATGCCATCAAGTGTACTATTAGCATGATGCCCTCGCTTCTGAGCTTCCAGGTTCTACGCGTGCTAGAGCTACAAGGCTGTAATGTCACAGGAGGTTTATACCTCAAGCATATCGGAAAGCTACGTCAGTTGAGGTACCTAGGAATGAGAGGCACACGTGTTGCTGAGCTTCCAGTGGAAATAGGGAATCTGATGCACCTGCAGACACTAGATGTCCGATACACAGGTCTGAAGGAACTGCCGTCGACCATTTGTAAGCTAAGCAAGCTGATGCGGCTGTGCGTCGCTGGAGGAACGGGCGTGCTGATGGGTGGTTGGAATCTGAGTTCACTGCAATACCTAAAGATGGGCTATGGTTGCATCAAAAGTAACAAAGACTTCGCCATAGAAGTGGGCAAGCTGATGGAGCTGAGAATCCTTAAGATTTATGTAGAGAACAAGTTTGACAAGGGCACGAAGAACGCTTTGCTACAGTCTCTGTGCTGCTTGCGTAGACTCCAGAACCTGATGATAGATTTCCCCTTGCCATTTCAGAATACGATGAGCATCTGGGATGGCTGGGACCTCTGGGAGCCCTCACCTCAGCTCCGTGTGTTCCGTATATGCGGCATTGAGCTGCCTCGGCTTCCAGAGTGGGTGAACTCCATGTGCGTCCCGTACCTCTCCGAGCTGCGACTTGACGTGGTAGCCATGGAAGCACGGGACCTGGACATGCTTGCAAGGATGCCAGCACTCCGCACACTCTGCCTGAGAACCCAGGCGAGATTTTCATGGACAGTTGGTGGTGCCGGACTGTTTCCGAACCTGAGATTCTGTAGGATGGACATAGCACTCACATTTCTTCAAGGAGCCATGCCGATGCTCATGAAGCTTCAATTATGGCTGTGGGCGTCTGAATATTGTGCCGCCACTGACGTTGGATTGGGGCACCTCCCTCTGCTCAATCGCGTCGAAGTTATCCTCCACTGCTGCGATGCGACTACCAGGCAGGTGGAGGAAGCAGAGGCGGCGTGGAGGCACATGGTGAATTCTCACCCGAACCGTCCCGCCATTCGTGTGTCCCGACTTGAAGAGGTATGGTTGGTTTGGTTAATCATGATTAATCAATTGGTTAGTTCACATTCCCCTACCTACACGCACGCCTCCCCACTTCTGACTGCCCTCCAAATTCTGTAACCAATCAGCTTTACTTGTTCTCAATTGATGTATTTCGTTCCTCAGTTCATATCGCTCTCGCACTTTGTTTTTCAGTACCGGATGAAAGGAGATGAAGATAATGATGATGAGGAGATTTCAGCTAAGGATCACGTTGACGGAAATTGTGACGATGGGAATTCAGCATATACGGACCAAGAGGTGCTGCGCTTGCGCCTGCCATGCATAACTATTCGATCCTGGTTGCATGATTAATTACATGCTCTTGGTTACTGACCGGAGGTTAATTAGTCGCCTGTTCTAGCCGGACAATGATTTAGCCAAAGAGGAGGAAGAGGAGGAGGCTACGAACCAATCTTGAACCGGATCTCTTCACTCATTCGGTCATGCTTTCAGGTACACATGTACCAAAGTTGCACATCAAAATCTTCATGACATTCTTCAACTTTAATCATACGCTTATCTCTAACTTTTATTCCCGGCTGTAATTAAACAGCGGCAGCTGCAGGGCAAGGAGAAGAATAAAAGGGAGAAGAGTAGAGCGGAATTGAAGAGAAACTCATCTCCTTCGCTGGGCCTTTTTTTTTATTTTTTTGTTGCTGTTGGTTTTCTTTCCCTGTTTTTTCTCAAGAATTTATATAGTGTGGTTTGTAATAATGGTTGTCTCGGTTACAATAAGGCCCAAGTAGGCTCAGACAGAAATTCCGAGCATATTGGCCGCTAAACTGTCATGTGTGATTTTTACACTATGCTTGTTTCTCATGATCACCTGTTTTACTTGATTCAAAGGTTATTGGTTGGAACATGGAAGCATTTGTTTCAGATATGACGATCGTGGTAGCACCTGAATTCTGAAAGCAGCCGGCAGAAACAGCACACCATACTGATGCCTTGATCCAGGACTACATGATCTGTGATGCACAGGAATGTCCGTACCCTGTTTTCCTTTTCTTTTCACACACATGTAGCAAAGCAGAAGATCCGCAGCAAGTTCGCACCGGAAAATGTACACCGTATTCCTGTGTGTCTGTGTTCTTGTGTTGTGCGTGCCTGTGATCCAGGAGCTGTGCTTGCTCTCCTGGAGGCTGGTGAGCGAGGAACAGGAAACGGAGAGCTTCCTTCCATTGACCTGCTGCACCGATAGATTGAACATATTGGAAATAGAAAGTAAGTTCAGATTCGAGGCGGAAGACAAACCATGAACCATGGTGCTCATAATTAAGGTTTGAATCGCCACTGCACGAATTATATATATTCTTGCATATAATTAATCTGAAGAAATAGGTCTATTGATCTTAAGAATGTTTTTTCCCCTTGTTCTTGCAAATATTCAGCTTGTAGTGTTTCCTGACTGAATTCATATATAATTATGTTTTGTCAACCTGTAGAATATCAAAATTGTATGTTTCAACACCATTTTCCATTATTCCATTGAGCAACAGAAGTAGCAATGAAGACAGTATACTTGGAAGTGCCATATTCAACAAAAGAAGGGTCCTTAATTTTTCTTTCCATGATAGCTTCCAGAAATTGCAAGAGCACACATATATATCTAACTAGGAGGTAGCCCGTGCAGTTGCGCAAGCATGCATATATTTAGTTTGCCTTGAAAATAGGTCTAACAAAATAAGTCCAAATTAAATAAGTTATTTTTCATTTTTAACTGAATATTCATTACCACTCTTTCCTGAAATCTTTGAGAAACTTTTATTGCTAAATAAATGTATTTTATTTATACCTTTCTTTAATTCATTAATGCATGGCTGTGAATTAATAAAGATAGCAAAGTTCTTTAATAATATTTATTTTATTCTGAATTTAGGTAGTGAGTTATTTTAATTTCAAATTTGTTTTGAAATCAAATTTGTTGTTTTATTATTTTATTCTAAATTGTCTTTTGGGGGTTTTTAAATTGTATTGTGCTGTATTTAGGTTCTTCTTTTAATAATTATTTTATTATTCCAAATTTCAGATATATATATTCTACATGGACTCTTGTTATATTTTTATTACTAATTAAAATGAAAATTTTATTTTCGAATGCTTCTTTTGATTTTTTTTCCTGAAATTTAATTACGAACTCCTAGCAGTGGATCTGCCATAGCTATTGACCTCGCAGATCATCTTGTCAATATCCATGTCGGTGAGCCTCTTTTGATTTATTGGCCATGATGTGATGGAGCTCGGATGGAGATGAAGCTGTCTTCTGATCTTTGTCGAACACGCTGAAAAGCTCCATCAGCTCCTCCTCGAAGTCCTTATCCTTCATCTAATCATCTTACGCGCCATTAGGCCCACAAACTCTCCTGGAAGTCGATGTCGCCACTATCGTTGGCATCCACCTTGCTGATCATGTCCTGAGGCTTCGCCTCCATCGGGTTTCTGGCTGTGGCGGAGCTCGGCGACAGAGATGAAGCCGTCTTCTGGTCTTAATCTAATTGTCTTGCACGCGATTAGGCTCAGGAACTCTCCTGTAAGTCTATGTTGCCGCTGTTGTCGGCATCCACATTGCTGATCATGTGGTAATTTGAAGATACTTGGAGTGCATGTGGTGAATTCTTTTTTTACGAAACACAGTACTAACACAGCACTTATAATTATAATTTATAAGTGCCCGTTCTTCGAGAGAGGTATATTGGTGCCGGCCTTTAAAAATAACCGGCAGGAATATCCCTTCATCAATGATCCTCCGCCCACTATTGATGTCGGAGCTATAGATGGCCTTTTGGCCCGTCCGGCACGGCTCGGCCCAAGCATGGCCAGGCACGGCCCACCAGCCATCGGGCCGGCACGGCCCGATTCGTGCCGGGCCGTGCTGGCCCATGGGCTGCTCCTCCTGCCCAGGCACAGCCCATCAGCCGTCAGGCCGTGCCTGGCCGGCCCGAAGGCGCAGGTGGCCCATCGTGCCGTTTTATATAAGTCTATATTCCATCCCTCCTCTTTGGGCCGTGAAATATATATAGCGAAAATAAGTCTATTTTTCGTCCCTCTTCTTTGGGCTGTGGTATATATATATATAGTGAAAATAAGTCTATTTCTGTCCCTCCTCTTTGGGTTGACATATATATATATATATATATATATATATATATAGCTAAAATAAGTCTATTTTACATCTCTATTCTTTCGACCATGGCATATAATATGTCTATTTTACTCCCTATTGTTTATGTGTCGGGCCTAGTCTGAGGCCCATCGTGCCGTGCCGGTGGAGAGGCCCAAGCACCAGCACGGGCCCGACCCCTGACGGGCCGTGCCGTGCTTGGGCCGGGCCATCGGGCCTCGGGCCTTTTGGCCATCTATAGTCGGAGCTTTATTAAAAACCAGCTTGTTTGCTTCTAAATAAAGTCATCACCACGCACGTTAAATAAAGTCGCTTGTTGCTGCTAAATAAAGTGAGATTTTCCAGTGAGACGCACTTGGCCTTATTTTTTTAGACCGGCGATCGAATAAAGTCGATTGCATTGCACAGGCGAATAAAATTTATCACCTCTAGTGCCGCACTACCGATAGTACAGACGCTTTTGACTCCAACACGAAAAAAATTCATCTTTCTCGTCATATCAACTCGCACCATCCTGAGTGACTCATCCATGTTCCTGATGCCTTCACCAAACTAATTTAATTAACCAGAGTAAGCTGAGAATCAAGCTCTCCCCACCATATGATCACTTTCCCTGAAGACCTGCAACCTCACGCTAGCTGATCCAGCTGCTAGCCATGGAGACGCCTCCGAGCCCCAGTTGAACCAAGCTGCGCCAACATCGATCTGCAGGAAGAGTTGCCGGCTCCTCTTCAGTTTGTGAGGTCAGGTATACATCCAATAAAAGAGGACTCCTTTAATTTGCCCAGTTGTTTAGTGCAGTTTGTAGGTGTTTCAATTCCTGCGTTTTGTTGGAGCACTCCCAATTATCCTCTAATTAGGACACACAATAGAGGAGAGTCAAGGGACGACTCAGAAGGGAACGCAGGCACCAGGTGGAGGACCGCCCATCAGAGATACAATTGATGATGGTGAGTCGAAGAAGTTCTATTCTTTCATGTTCTTTAACTCACCATCATCAGCCTCCACCTGGTGCCTACATCCCTGTCGGAGGGTTAACTCCTCCACCAGGGAACCGTGAGCCCTTTTTTGGTTCGGCCAGGGGCAGCGGGTGAAATTTGAGGCTTCGAGAGCGAAACTGAGTCATCTTGAGGGGATCAAGCCCCGCCCCCCCCACAAGACGATGAGACAAAAGGGGTTTATACAGGTTCGGGCCGCTATGAAGCGTAATACCCTACTCATGTGTGTACGATTCTTCTGTGCTTAGAAAGTCCCTGAATCCCTAGTATGCAAGCTAGGGTTAGACAAGCTTTGGCTCAGGGATTCTAAGTCCGATCCCCCCTCCTCGCTAGGCATGGTCCTCCTTTTATACTCTAAGGGGATACTACATGTGCTGCGAGTGCTACCTAGGGAGAAGGGAAAATATTCTCTATATTAATTACATGTCTTGTGCTTTAGCCCAAAAGCTATCTGCACGTCGGTTGTTGCGCGGGGCCCCTCAAATCATGCAGGGCGCCTTTGTCATTCGCCATTTAATGGATGAGGACTTCCGGGTTCTCGTTCACACCAGAAAACGGGAACCCGGGTCAGTTCAGAGTGGTTGGACCAGCTCTGACCGAGGTAAGAGGCTGTGAAGCCCCTCCTCATTATGATGGGACGGGATGGAGCATGCCACTCGCCGCCTGACACACTGATAGGGTGGGGGTACACAGTCGCCGTCCCATCGGTCATTCAACCGGTCACAGTCCGGTCAGATGCGCAGCACGCCGCATTTAATGCGGCATGGCGCGGTTGCATAGACCGCTTTAAATGCACTTAGGTGGGCGTTAGGCGCGCCCACCTAACCCTGTACACGTGGGCTGATACGTGGAGGGGGTCGGAGCAGCTCGACCCCACGCGAGGGCGGCCTCCTCCCTCTAGCTGGGAGGGGGCAGCCGCCGCGCCACCCCGGGCTCGACCCCCCTCGGGGGGAGCCACGTGGGTTTGGGGGCGGCCCAACCCCAAGCTGGGAGAGGGCAGCCGCCGCAAGACCTCGGGCTCGACCCCCCTCGGGGGCATAGTTGAAAAAACCGAATCGGCGATCGAACCGCTCGAGTCCTTAGGTCACCGGTCCAGCGGTTCAACCGCGGGTTTACACGGTTCGAATGTTGAACCGGAAGTGTTATATTGTATGCATATTCTCTTGTTGTCACTTGTGAAAGTTAGCTGGGTGATGGATGCATGGGGCTTTCAGCCAGCCAACCAGTGTTCGAATCCCCTTTCCACCCCTTTTTCTTGCTATTTTCAATAGTACACATGCACGTGCACAAGGCCTTGACTGGCCCATCAAGGCCCATCCTCTCTTGGCATGACAAACTGGCCGGCTCGGCTCGCTCTGGTTCGGCGGTTCACATGAAAACCGGCCGGTTCAGGCAGTTTCTTCCGGTTCAAATGCTGGGGCGGTCTTTACAGCAAACCGAGCCGTCCAGACCTCTGGTTCCGGTTTAGCCGCCGTGCCACCCCGGGCTCGACCCCCCTCGGGGGGAGCCATGTGGGTTTGGGGGCGGCCCAACCCCAAGCTGGGAGGGGGCAGCTGCCGCAACACCTCGTGCTCGACCCCGCTTGAGGGGAGCCACGTGGGTTTGAGGGCGGCCACCTCCCTCTAGACGTGATACCCCCGGGCCCATATCACCGACAGTAGCCCCCGGCGTTAGCCCTGTCCAAAACCTTCCCCCGGTGGCCAGGGTTGACGCCACTCTCCTAGTCTAACGATGTGGGCTCGGTCTCTTCTCCATTCTTTGCTGGCACTAGGGCCCATGCGCCTTTTTCGCTCCAACTTGAGGGCGACTCGACAGCCCGTACCTTAGGTTGTGAACTTATTTTCTGTATATATTCAGCAAATGTTGTTAGATTCTCTCGGGTGTGCGACTTCATGCTACGCACCTCGCTTGCCCCTGTCTTTTGTTAACCTCTGTTCATGTTCTACTTCATCTATTCAAACGATTATTTTCGCTTGAGTGTGAGGACTGAACTTTCCATAGCCAGCAATCCTCACCCGCGATCAAGCCAAGCTGGGTGCCATAGCCAGCCGGCGGGGCCAAAGCCAGCTGCTACGGGAGAGCCAGCACATGGGGCCCCGGGCGTCGACGGCGTCCAGAGCTCGACGCAGGGCTAGGATAGAGACAGGAATCGTAGCCCCCACACTTTTAGCAAAGAATCATTTGAATGGGTGAAGTGAATACAATCTTTTTGTTACCAAGGGGGGCAAACGAGCGTGCGACACGTGGGTATCGCGGGACCGTGAGGAAGAGATGGGTGAGAGATAAATATAAGTCATAATAACTTTGCTGATAAGCATGAACAAAGAAGATACAAACTTAAAGGAAGTATTACAAATGCTATGCTTAAAAAGAGCCCCCGGCCAACGCTAAGCTTTCCCAGAGAGGTCTGCTTTGGTCCGGATATTGTAATACCTCCTTTGTTACCTTTGTTTATCCTTGTTTGCACGTCGCGACCTTTCAAACCTTTAGCTCAAAGAAGGCCTCCCACCATGAGCTAGGAACCATTTTGGGTAGTCTGCGACCACTTAGCAAACGAGGTCAGGTTCCCACGAGCCTATGGCCCCACGCTACACATTCTGTTTGCTCTTTCCTTTCGGTGGCCTCCTTCCAATATCTCTCCCTTCTACATGGACGACTACCTTCGCACGAGTGTGAGAGCCGAAAAACTCTAGAGCCAGTGATCCCTTTCCATAGTTGAGCCAGGCCGGGCACCGTAGCCAGCCGACGGGACCAAAGCTGGCCGCTACGGAAGAGCCAGCACAGGGAGTCCCGGGCTTCAACGGCACCCGGAGCTCAACTTAAGGCTGGGATAGGGCTAGAAAACTTAGCCTCCACACTTAGCGAAGACCCGTTCATGTAGATGGGAGAGAGGTTGGGCTCTTACCACCGAGGGAGCAAACAAATATGCAACACGCGAGCCAAGCAGGGCCATGAGAATAAAATGAGGGGAAAGTATAAGATTTCATGCTGTATTAAGCTGACGAATTGAAAAATTGAAAATACTTGAAACTTTGAAAGGACGATCAGTTGAGCCGGGCCGAGCGCCGTAGCCAGCCGGCGGGACCAAAGCTGGCCGCTACGGAAGAGCCAGCACAAGGGGTCCCGGGCTTCGACGGCAGGCGGGACCAAAGCTGGCCGCTACGGAAGAGCCAGGACAAGGGGTCCCGGGCTTCGACAGTACCCAGAGCTCAACTGCAAGAATCCTCCCAGGAGTAGACCGAGGCAGGCGGCAGGTCCATAAGCGTACCCCGCGCTTGGCCCTGGAGGGCCATGGGGAAGAGGTTCGCCTTGACCCGGTCGTCACCCCCCACCGCCTCTATGATCGTCGTGTAGATCTTGAGGGACTCGGAGGGGTTGACGCTGCCGTTGCACATCTCGGTGAAGCTGGGCCGGAACTTTGGGGGCCATCGAACATTCCGAAGACTCGTCACAAAGACCTGGCCGTGAGGCTGGGCCGGAACGTTGGGGGTCATCGGATATTCCAAAGACTCGCTACAAAGACCTGGCCGCCAGCCTTACTCGGTGGGGATGTGGGGGGCCTAGCCCCCCTGCCTAGGGTGGCGCGGCACTCCAGAGAAGGCTGCGCCTTCCCCCACATCGGCGACGCGACGCTAACCATGCCAGCGCTCGAAAAACCTCAAAAATCACGAACGTGCCCCCTACCTGGCGCGCCAGATATCGGAGGGTTAACTCCTCCACCAGGGAACCGTGTGGTCCCCTTTTTTGGTTCGGCCGGGGGCAGCGGGTGAAATTTGAGGCTTCGAGAGCGAAACTGAGTCATCTTGAGGGGATCAGCCCCCCCAAGACGATGAGACAAAAGGGGTTTATACAGGTTCGGGCCGCTATGAAGCGTAATACCATACTCCTGTGTGTATGATTATTCTGTGCTTAGAAAGTCCCTGAATCCCTGGTATGCAAGCTAGGGTTAGACAAGCTTTGGCTCAGGGATTCTAAGTCCGATCCCCCCTCCTCGCTAGGCATGATCCTCCTTTTATACTCTAAGGGGATACCACATGTGCTAGAGTGCTACCTAGGGAGAGGGGAAAATATTCTCTATATTAATTGCATGTCTTGTGCCTTAGCCCAGAAGCTATCTGCACGTCGGTTGCTGCACGGGGCCACTCAAATCATGCAGGGCGCCTTTGTCATTCGTCATTTAATGGATGAGGACTTCCGGGTTCTCGTTCACATCAGAAAACGGGAACCCGGGTCAGTTCAGAGTGGTTGGACTAGCTCTGACCGAGGGAAGAGGCTGTGAAGTCCCTCATCATTATGATGGGACGGGATGGAGCACGCCGCTCGCCGCTTGACACACTGACAGGGTGGGGGTACACAGTCGCCGTCCCATCGGTCATTCAACCGGTCACAGTCCGGTCAAATGCGCAGCACGCGACATTAAATGCGGCATGGCGCGGTTGCATAGACCGCTTTAAATGCAGTTAGGTGGGTGTTTGGCGCGCCCACCTAACCCTGTACACGTGGGCTGATAAGTGGAGGGGGTCGAAGCAGCTCGACCCCACACGAGGGCGGCCTCCTCCCTCTAGCTGGGAGGGGCAGTCGCCGCTCCACCCCAGGCTCGACCCCCCTCGGGGGGAGCCACGTGGGTTTGGGGGCGGCCCAACCCCAAGCTGGGAGGGGGCCGCCGCCGCAACACCTCGGGGTTGACCTCCATCGGGGGAGCCACGTGGGTTTGAGGGCGGCCTCCTCCCTCTAGCTGGGAGGGGGTAGTCGCCGCGCCACCCCGAGCTCGACCCCTCTCGGGGGGAGCCACGTGGGTTTGGGGGCGGCCCAACCCCAAGCTGGGAGGGGGCAGCCGCCGCAACACCCTGGGCTTGACCCCCCTCGGGGGGAGCCACGTGGGTTTGAGGGCGGCTTCCTCCCTCTAGACGTGATACCCCCGGGCCCATATCACCGATAGTCCCCTTCTGTGT